GTTCAATAGTTACAAAGAATACTTTATTTGATCACATAGATCATGGGGAGGTTAAGCAAAAGCACGGTGAACATATCAGACAAATAAAATCATTTAAAAGCACTTGGCGTCCTCATTTCTGGGTGATTTTGGCACATAGGGAACCATATAAGGCAATGGGGTATTTTCTAGCTATATGATCCGAGATTTCCATATAGTCCAAGCTTGTATTTAAATTAGCCATGTATTATTCTTGGTATAAGCCAGGATATGTAGAATAGCTTCCTGGTAAGTGGAAACTGGAACAAGAAAATATATATATGGTCTTAAATAGCACATAGATCACACCATAACTGTCCCATCCAGAGATAAATTAGTACTTTCATTACCTTCTCAGTGATTTGGCTGTCATACCAATATGATGAATGTAGAGACTTCCTGGGTAACCACCCCAAATGAAACAAAGTCCACAGTAACAAGTGGTTCTAGAGATATATATAAAAAATTATATAGATCATACACATCAAGCAGAATCCCTGAATAGTGAAAAACAAGAAAATAAAATAAAGGTATATATTACCATTAGTGAAGATCAAGAGGACTCACGTCGACTTGAAATAGGATCAGGTCCTTAATGCTTGTTCAGTAGTGCATATATAGGTGGGAAGCCAGGTAGTCTCAATACATTAATTGCAAAAAAGAGTATTATATATGTAGCAGGCACTATATACCTGAATCTATATACCCAATAAAGGGTTTCCAAAAATTGCTCAAACTGAGATAGTAAAAGCGGTTCCTTAAGGATATAGCTATATCACAACGTGCAGCATATGTGTGACATAGAGTATGTATATTTCCCCCTAAGAGGATTTCCAAAAATTCCCTGAAAAAACAGGAGTACTAGGCACATATATCGTTCCCTCTCAACTCCACATAAGCTCTATAAGTCTAAACAGCAACTGCCGCTAACTGAGCCAAATAAGCAAAGATAACTTGCCACCGGTGGAAGGTATGCTCCTATTTAGGATAGTCATATGCGGACTGCTGTAGTAGTAGCTTTATGGTAGTTTTTCAAAGCCTCGTGCCTTCCTAACATGGAGCTGTAACAACGCCGCTCCTTTCCTCCTCGTGGGCACCGCACCCTATGAAGACGCCGAGCGTAGTGACGTCATTACGTTGACGCGTTTCGTCCGCCAATCACCGCGGACTTCGTCAGAACTGGGAGGGGACTTCGTTCCATTGCCTTATATAGTACACTAATTGCATACAAAGAAATCTCCATGTCGCCCTCTTGTGTTAAAAAGATATCACTACATTGAAAAGTCCAAAGTGGGTTTAAAAAACATATATTGACTGCTGGCAATACAGAGGAAGGCCTTATTTAAATAAACAAGTCGTCTTTGATCAGAATAGAGGAACAGAGAGGATAATTATGATTCTGACAGCACAGGGGGAGGGGGGTACAGGGAACATCAAAGCCAAGTAGAGAATATCTGTTTCAATACTATTTTTATTATTATTGTAGAGGTTCAATCTGATGTAAGGCGAACCCCACCTCAGGTTGAGTTCTCTATTTGGTCCCCTCAGATTCGTCATACCGAAATTATATTTTACCCGGGGAGCCTTTATTTCCTTGATTTAAACAGATATCCATTATGGGCAATATAACACAGGCAAAAGTATATATTCAAAGGGACTCAATTCAGAAAGACTTTAAAGTTAAGTTCTGTATTTAGTCCATATGGGACAAGTGCACCCAAAGTATAGATCCAAAATTTCTCTTTTTGGAGAAGAACTTTATCGAAGTCACCCCGCCTAGCTGAAATATTCAGCAAAAAGATCCCTTTGACTTTTAGGCCTTCTGTCCTTCCCCCATGTACTTCTTTAAAATGTTGTGCCAAGGGATTCTCTTTCTCCCCCTTCCCCCCATTTCTATTTTCATTTATAATATCTCTCAGGTGTTCACCAATCCTGGTTCTAAGATTCCTTTTCGTTTTTCCTATATATATCTTCTTACATGGGCATTCTATCATATATATTACTCTATTACTAGAGCAGTTAAGCTTTTGCTTAACCTCCCCATGATCTATGTGATCAAATAAAGTATTCTTTGTAACTATTGAACTTACATTACTCCGCGTGGATCTTTAAGTAACCTCTTTTTTCCAGGTGGTGTTGCTCTTGTCACACTACCACATTGTTCATTATACAGAGGACTGCACCCACCTATCCCATAAAAGGGAACTCTGGAAGACCTTGATACCAGTGAATCCAGACCTCAGAATCCATCCATCCATAGAGGAAAGGCGTAGGATTCCTGCGATCATCCCATGATGACCATTTGATGACATCATATAATTATAAAACGCACATTTACATGCGCTTTCTGGTGAGTGCGCATTGCTTATACACCTAAATGCACATCCACCGGGTCCAGGAAGATGCATGATTATTGAGCACTTGAGTCACCTGATGAACTTTTATTAGCAATCAGTGTTTTTTTCTTATTGTATTTTATGCATATCTACTAATTTATAGAATATTGCTTTGATTTTAGCGCCGCACATTCTGTTTCAACTGCAATCTGGTGTTGCCCCACGTCCTCCCACACCTCAAAGTGCACAGGTGTCTTACCAGAAGCAATAGATCTCTATTTTATAGAAGGTCATATATGATGTCACAGATCATTGTTCTCCACCACTCATTCAAAAATGACCCACACTTTTCCACAACATCAATTCCAGTGCTTCCACCATGAACACAAATGAGCCACATCATGTAATACCACCAATAAAAACACTTTATTTGTGAGGGTTCCCACAATGTACGAGACACAGCAAAGCGCACACAGCATCGCTGCACTTGAGGTAGCGAGTGTCATGACATCACTAATAGACTCCTCCCACTGTGTTTTGTTGCCAAGGAATGTCTTTAGGGAACAAACCTCCAAACAAGGAAATTTGGTCCCAGCTCATATCTACCTATAACTGAACTGAATTAAATATTTTATAGTTTCCTTCTTAGCTCCCTGAAAGTTACTGAACTTAGGCTCATTTTAAGCAGCTTATGATATTCAGCTCTAAAGTCAGAGCTCTAGCATGTCCCCCACATCCTTAAGTGCATTGTACCATTGTTTATTGGGTGCAGGAATGCAATGGATTCCTTTGCTGCCATTTTACTATTGCTGGGTGTCCCGTGCATCCCCGTGTCTTTAAGGTGGGGTGGTCTCCCTCCTTGCACACAGCTGCCCTCAACCTATCCATTGTTATATGTGCGCCTACTATGAAAGCTCTGAAAATTGTAGCGTTATGACCACAGTATATACAGAATATGGCCTTGATGTGGGCACTGCGGCTTACCCATATATTTGGAAATATGTGCAAACAAAACCTGTTTCTAACGTAAACTGGTAGACAGAGCAATTCAGTTGTTTTGTAGGCTGGCTGGTATGTGTGCTGGGAAATATCTTGTTTTGTTTGTGATGTGTATTGCCCTTCTATGTGCACCTTGCTGCAAAGGCAAATTTTAGTTTGGGGTGGTTGCCATTTTTGCACAGTTAGGTAATGGGTGCAGGGACACACTGGATGCCTTTGTTGCCATTGTGCTTTTGCTGGGAGTCACGTGCATCCCTGTGCCCTTAAGAAAGGGTGGGCTACCTTCTCAGTTACACCTACCCTCAACCCATCCATTGTAATATGTGCTCTCCTACTATGAAGGTTCTGAAAATTGTAGAGTTAGGGCCGCAGTATATATAGAGGTTCCTTGACAAGGGCAATGCGGCTCACATATGTATTTGCAAATGTATGTATTTGCAAATGTATTTGCAAACAAAACCCTCTGTCTTTAAAGTTAACTGTTAGACAGGGCAATTCGGTTGTTTTGCAGGCTGGCTGGTAAGTGTGCTAGGAAATCTCTTGTTTGTTTGCGATGTGCATTGCCCTTCCATGTGCACATTGCTGCCATTATTTTTTACTGAACCATTCTTACCTGTTCTACAGAAAGGCCACACGGTGGAGAAGAGGGACTGAGCTTTCAGAACAACAAAGAAGAAATGTTAATGTGTAGACACCTATTAGTGCCTTATTATGCTGACTGCTGACCAGTTTTTTGTGTAGGTTTAAATTCAAAAACAAGTTGGCTTTCAAATAGCTAATCTGATTATCCTTAAGAAGACTTCATTCTACTAGAATACATAAATACAGTAATATATTTATAAAATACATTTTTGTATTAATATATTAAAGCCAAAAAAAACAATCCACTGATTGATCCAAATTGATGACTGTTATGTGTAGGACATAGGTAGTGGGTTATATGCTCCTGTTGTGGTGAGCAGCCTCTAAGTCACAAAGACCAGTCTAGTGCTCTAAATAAACACAAAACAAAAAAACAAAATCTTCAAAAAAAAAAAAAAACCTAGCCGTATACCAGCACTAACTTTACATAAATATAGTTCTGCCTAGCAGACTAAATAAGTCTGGTGTTTTGTCAGCCAAAAAATGCAGTTTTCCAATATTCATAAATCTTAGCTGCAGCAGACTTAAAGTGGAACTCCACCCAAAAGGGGACGTTTCGCTTTAATGCAATATCCCCCCCACTCCCCGCTAAGGATTGGCACCTTTGGGGAGCGGGTACCTGAAGTTGACAGGTACCCGGTCCCACTTCCTCTGCGATCGCCTAAGGCAATCGGAAGCGGAAGTTGTCCTCCCACCCTGTGGTATTCTGGGACACGTGACAGGTCCCAGAAGACTACGGGGCAATTCACAAAGTGCAGCGCTACTCACACATGTGCAGTGGGCACCCGGCTGTGAAGCCGCCAGCTGTCACAGCCGGGTGCCCATACTGAAGATGCTGGAGCTGGGGAGAGAAGATGGCTGGTGAAACCAGCCATGGTGAAGACACCGCTGGACCGAGGGACAGGTAAGTGTCTGTATTTTAAAAGTCAGCAGCTATAGTTTTTGTAGCTGCTGACTTTTTTTTTTTTTTTTTAAAATCAACTGGAACTCCACTTTAAAGTGTTACTAAACCCACAACAGTAAAATCAATCTGTATATGCAGTAAAGCATGCTTGTTATACTCACTGTGGAACCTAAGGGGTTAATCCTCTGCATATTGTAAAAAGGCAGTTCGATCCTTTCTTCTCTGTTCCTCCCCTTTTTTTTAAGCAACCCCCTCTTATCTCCAGACTGAACTGTAGGCATGCACATGATCCATTTGGAGTGTTTTACTGGAGAGGTTTTTTTTCTTGAGAGAGTGCATGTGATCAGCACAGGGCCAATCAGCACTGTCCAGACAGAGGTCAGGGGATTTGCATCCTCTTAGAGCAGAAAAAAAACTCTCTTCCTACAAGCTTTAGCTAGTGCTGGACTGGACACAGATAGAAGTCACAAGACTAGTCAAACTGATGATGAGTAAAGGTATTTAGCAGTTTATATTTACTGCAATAATTGCATTTCTATGTTCTGTGTACTTCGGGAGACCAGATATAGTGAATGCAGGGTCATGGGTTTAGTAACACTTTAACCTTAGACTTAACCTGCCTGCTCCCCATTAGGGATGAGCTCACGGATCCTTCAAAGTAATCTCTATCCAAATTTCCACTTTTTGATAATTTGAAGTCCATTCAACTTTGGTCAGAGTCATTTCTTGGCCCGTAGCACATATATTATTTTATATATTATATTATAATACATTATATTATATTGCATTTAAATAAAGGGACGGGATGCTGGTGTTGTAAGACACATGCTCATATTTAGTCAATGTCATTGCCTAAATATAGGCCCAAGCTCTTCTCTGTTCCCCATACTACAAATCACTGTCTGCAAGCATGCCTAGGTCTAAAGTAATTCACCTGGCTGCTGAATTGTAGCCAGAGACAGGTACATTCTTGGAGCTGATCAAATGTTTTGGACTGTATAAGAAGGAAGCTGGAGTGAAGTCTCGCTCTCTGCTCCACAATATAAATGTACAATGTGTTAAGTGTTCAAGGCTATTAGTTAATGCCAACTTTCCTGGAGTAAATCTAAATCTTTTTCAGTTAATGTTCTGTCTGACTGCTGGCAGGCTATTTCATATAACATGCTGAATTAACTGGCTATGGTCCACTAGCTGAAAGTCAGTACAACCGCTTCCTACTTGCACTACCTCCTAGTTATACACACTTCCCCTGTGTTCACTCACAAAACAGCAGTTGCAATTAGGTTTAGCAAATATATTTCACTTCCAAATCACACCCCATACTGAGCTGGAATACACAATACCATTATTCAAATAGCAGGTTGACTACTGCCATTTGATTCCCACTGAGGATAAATTACAGTATATGCATTGAATTCCACCATTAAATACATCTCTCAGTGTTTGGGCTTCTACCCATATGGAACCTAGCATTGTGGAAGTGACAGTAAGCAAGGATACAGCTGCTTGATACCTCTACAACAGGATCTCAGAAGATTAACCACCCACTGGCACCAAATCTTCATGCTGTTCTGACAGCCCTGGGGTGCATCATCTGAATTAATCCAAAGATTCATTTAAGCTTCATCACCGCTGGGATGTTACTTTAGTTCAGATGGATGGAAAATAAATGTTTGCTCTTTTATTTTTTTTTTAAATATATTTATTCGCAGGACACCTTTATAGTTCAGTATAAATACAAATGTTCTGTTAGCGGACTAATCTTAAACTGCTGTCAGTTTATAGACAGATTGTGACACACTTTGCTGAAAACAAAGACATATTGACTAATTTTAATTAGATAATGGGATAATGTGCTAAATATATAAAAATAAAATTTTACAATGCTCTCCCTCTTCTGTAGCAACCACTGTATATTTGTGTTACGCTTGTTAGTAGACGCAACATTTGATCACTACAAAGATTAGATTATTTGCAGATGGATTGAAAGAGTATTTAAAAAACATATTTAGCACATTTCTGGAATACATTCACATTTCTCCTTGATTTATTCCTTCAGTCCCTTCCTATCCTTTCACTGGGTCTTTACAAGGGTGGGGGTGTCACAAACACCCTGATCAAGTGATCAGTATGAATGAATCTACAGTGGTTGAATGTCCCATTGGATCTGAATCATAACCAGAGATTGGGAGCTGTCTGTGACAGCTTGGTCATTGTGCTGTGAGCATGATCTCAACACAGAAACCTTGGGTGTTAGAGCTTACCATGCTGCAACACATATGCATTACATTGTCTGCAAGAGGTTAAATATTTTGCAAGTATGGAAAAATAGCTGTTGATGTATTGGAATTATCGTGTGCTCTTATCCTCCTCTTTGACATGACAGCACAACTTTGAATTCCAAGTTTGTGGTGCTGCTTACTTAACTTCTGATGCATTATAAAGAACAGAACCCTCTCCTCATCTTCTGCCCCCTCTTCATCTCCATAACATCTCCCTGTGCACATTGAAGTTTTCAGCTTACAAGGTTTCTGCCAAAATCCACAGGTATTGTTTGCATGTAGAGAACGGGTACGATAAAATGCTTTTAAAGTGCTACTAAACCCAGGAGCCTGCATTCACTATCAAATCTCCCATAGTACACAAAACATGGAAATGCAATTATTTTAATAAATATAAACTGCTAAATAATTTTTCTCATTAGCAGTATATAGAAGTCTTGTGACTTCTGTCAGTGTCCAGCTGAGCACTGGTTAAAGCTTGTAGGAGGAGTTTCCATTCTGCTCTGACTGTCCTATGAGGCTGTATAACCCCTGACCCTCTATCTGGAAAGTGCTGATTGGCCCTGTGCTGATCACGTGTACCCTCTCCCACCATAAAAAAAACTCTCTAGCAATACACACTAAAACTGAGCATGTGCAGAGTGACTCCTAGAGCTCTGTACTAACAGCAGATGGATTGGGGAGTGTGGAAGAAGTAAAGGATCAGAGAAGACAGAATCACACAGCCTTTTTAAGCATTGTGGAGGATTAACCTCTTAGGTTCCACAGTGAGTATAACAAGCATGCTTAACTGCATTTACAGACTGATTTTACTGTTGTGGGTTTAGTAACACTTTAATGGTACATTTTACAGAAAGGGGTGCAAGTAAGAGAAATTAAAATAGTTGTGAACATACAATGTTATAGACCATTTTTAATACAGTTCTTCCTGATAGTGGGGGGCAGGGTTACAGGACACTGTGCAGAAATACATTGTACCTGTATTCCTTTGTCTGTTCAGCCTGAGGCAAAATGACTGTGCTTGAACAGTGGGCATGTTCAAGAGGTAGGCTGTGATTGGGAGTGGGTGGGTGTCAGAGGTAGGATGGGATTGGTGGCATCTGAAAAAACTACCCAATGCAGGCATGCTGTGTGTCTGTACAGTGTCCTGTACCTCTGAATGGCCAGCCGGAGGATGGAAACTGACCATGCAAGCACAGATCAGCTTCTATACTTTGTGTGGTCAGTTAGAACAAGGAAGAAAGGCAACTAGCAGGATAAACCAGTTACTTTAGATGGAATAGGTACATGAAAATGATAAAGACTATGATTTCTGAAATACACATAAGTGAACACACACACATGGAAAAAAAATATTTAGAGTAGCAAACACTTTCGTTGTTAGGGTCAACGCTTTAAGGTGATATTCAATATTCAGAAGAGGCAAGGATTAATGGTGTGCGAAGTTCAGCAATTACTTGGAGCAGCAGCTCACAACTACATATATGTATTTGGAAGTGAAGGTTACAATGGGAATGTCAGGATCTGTTTGGTTGCTATGACACCAAACCATATTTCCTATCAGTCAGGTTTGTTTTCTTTGTTTAAGAGATTTGTTACAGTGTATCACTTGTCATTTATATGCAGTACAGCGCTCTGCAGCTATAATACTGAACACTTCCATTACAGAAACATGCATATGCAGTGAGTGATTAAAATGAGAGCCATTAGTTGCAGAAGAGAATTAGTGTCTGCTAAAAAAAATATTGCAGCAATCTTTCATTTTATTTAAATCCTGCCACAATTGTTTGCTTTCCCATTTCCATTATATTCTATGAAAGCCTCCTGTGTATTATTAAAAGCCTTAGAAATCTAAATGAATACTATTCAGCACCCAGAAGCAATCTAGAGTTGTTCTCGGTGGATGGATCAGAGCTGTGAATAAGTGTACTGAGCTGAAGCTGAACCTTTTTACAGCACATGGAGAAATGACATGTGGACCAGGTGTTTATTTACCTCGATATTTATTTCAAGTGCCCTTAGCACTTTTTGCTTTGAAGGCAAATGCTAATTAATGCTGATGTTGGAACTTCCCTCTAGCAGAATCGACAACTGTGACCTGAGAGCTGCCGCACAGAATTCACTTGACAGACATTTCCCCATCTCTGCCTTGAATTAGCTTTTGTTTAAATTGTTATTGGTTGACGATTGATCAATAGTGTGGCAGACTGATTTCTATATTAGCACTATACTTAAACCCATAATACAGATCATCATTTTTCATTATATCATGCTTGACCAGATGTGTCTTAATCTTCACTAAAAATCATTTTGGTCTCGCCAAAATACGCACCTTCCTTACCCCAGACACCACTAAAATACTCGTACACTCCCTGATTATCTCACGCCTCGACTACTGCAACTCCCTCCTCACCGGCCTACCCCAGTGCAGGCTCTCCCCGCTTCAGTCCATCCTGAACTCAGCGGCTAGACTCATCCACCTCACCAACCGCTCCACCTCTGCCACCCCCCTCTGCCTATCCCTCCACTGGCTCCCTATCGCCCAATGCATCAAATTCAAACTACTCACTCTGACCTACAAAGCCATTCACAACACTGCCCCTAACTACCTCACCAACCTGATTCCCAGGTATCACCCCACCCGTACCCTTTGCTCTTCACAGGACCTCCTTCTATCTTGCTCCCTGGTCTCCTCCTCCCACGCACGTCTGCAAGACTTCTCCAGGTCCTCCCCCATCCTCTGGAACTCACTACCTCAATCCATCAGACTGTCACCTTCCCTCCTCACCTTCAGGCGCTCCCTGAAAACCCACCTCTTCAGGGAAGCCTACCCCCACCCTCACCTAACTGCCGTTCTCCTTCATTCCTCCTACCACTCCATCCCCCACAGCCACTTCCTCCTGTACCACTACCCCCTCCCTCCTAGATTGTAAGCTCAAAAGAGTAGGGCCCCCTCTAACCCCTCGTGTGCTGTTTGTTGTTGTTGTACTGTTTCATGTATTGTTCCCCCCTCTATTGTACAGCGCTGAGCAAACCCTTTGGCGCTATATAAACTCAATGTAATGTAATGTACATGGGTTTGTCTTGGTCACCATCGGTATAAAGATTTCTTTAGTATACCGTAT